GTGACTAACTGGGGGGATGAAGGGAGCCTCTTCACCTAGTATCAGGTGCCGGATTCGTGCTGTTGATTGCTGGTTCCCTCCTCCCCTTATTATCACTGCCCTACACACCTTATCTGCTTCTATTACTGACCATACCATTGCACTTCCACTTCTTTAAAATTTAAAAGAATTTTTTCTTTTATAAAATAAATGAGAACACGAAAGAAAAAAAATGCAGGCTTGCCTTCTCCTGATATGGGGGACAACCCTATACTATTTAATATTTATCTACTATTTATCTTCTCTCATTATTGTACCTCACACTACCTACCCTGGGCAAGTAAGGGACCATCTACCCCCCATACAAGCCCCGGACTCAATTTACCCTAAGACAGGCAACCATCTGGAACCCAATACCAACTGCAGCCAGGAGAGGGCCTAGGGTCATAGACTACGAAAGGCAAAGCCGACTATACTACCCCCTAAGCCTACCAGCTAAGAACCTACCCTACCTGAGACAGAGCCCAACCTTAAATATACTAAGTTACTAACCGTGACTAAGCTATCCTAAGAGCAGCACCCAAGCTCCTAACACCTGGCGAGGGCTGGAAAGACAGACTCACATACTTCCACAACCAGCCAGGAGGGACAAGCCGACTTTCTCGGTCGGTGAAGCCAAAGTATACCACACAGGGGGTTGTGGGGAATCAAATGGATGCCATGGGGAATTGAACCCCACCTCCTGTGCTCAAACAACTGAGCTAGGCCGCTTGACCAGATCGGAGCTTTCAATTTAAAAAAAAAAAAAGAAGGCTCCGTGGAGTTGCAGGGTTGTGACAATCATCAAACATGAATTGATCAGATTGTTCTTCATCAGCTGGATGTGAATGTGAGCAATGAGGTTAGGGGCCGGCCCCACTGGCGCTATGTTCAATGTGCTGCTCCTGGCCGTAAAACTGGCCAGTGCAAGCGTTATTAACACAAACTATTACAAAGTTACAAACATAACCTAGTTGGCGCCAGACCCTTTAGTATCACGTAGTGGTGGGAGAGTAGAGGGCGCGAGTTACTGGTTGGTCAACTTAGGGGCTAATAGGTGATTGCTTGAGCCTGGCGTCCGAAGTTCCCGTACGACGAGGCTCGTTCGACTACGCTTCCACCAGGGCTGGGGCGCTAGCCCTGGTGCCTGTCACTATTGTTCGGTCCAAGTTTCCCTCGATACTGGTAGGGTGATGGTCCTGAGTGCTGGTCACACTGAGGTAGGATAGTAGGGATAGGGGTTGCGCTAGGAGCATTGACGCGAGGATGGGATGGGAGGTGGCCTCGTCTCCTCAGGGCGACCACGGCTGACCGCTTCCAGCGATCAATGTGTGCCTAGTAACTGCCTCTGTTCTGTGCCCCTGGTTTGCCGATGCCAGAACGGCGCTGGCCGGAGCTGGGGGGTTGCCCTGTAACCTGCGAATGGCAGGAGTGTGAGGCCTTGTAGAGAGATCTGGGGATTTGCTGAGGGAGGAAGGCAATCCAGTGGAGAACTGGGCGGGGCTGCCTAGACAACCTATGGGTCCAGGGATAGTCTAGGTGGCGAGAACAGGTCAGCTATGTTTGACGTTGGTTAGGATGGCATTGTCTCTACGATGTAATGTCCTGGTACAGGGAGGGCTACAAGTTGTTCCTGGATTAGGAGGCCAGAATTGCTGATATAGCGTAGTCTTCTATATTTTTTACATACTAATCATCATCATCATCATCATCATAATCATCATAATCATCATAATCATCATCATTGGTATTATTATCTCACAAGAATCAACAAAAGTTCATCATCATCATCATCATCATCATCATCATCATTGGTATTATTATCTCTATACCACTAAAGCAAGCAAAGGGCCCGACGACATGCCCGGTCGCGGGCCCAGTGAAATTCGTGGCAGTGGGCCGGTACCGGGAGGAGGCGACTGGGCAGTGGGACCGCGGCAAGGGAGGCCGACCTGAAATCTTGAGGGAGCGGGCGGGTACCTGAAATCGTGAGCGAGGTTAGAACTTAGAAGTGCTCGCTTGGTACTTGGAAAAAAAAGACGGGGAAAAAGAAAAAGGCGTACAAGAACAAAGAAAAAAGACATACAAAAAGCTAGAAGGAAGACATACATGAAAATAATTATGTGTGTGTGTGTGTGTGTGTGTGTGTGTGTGTGTGTGTGTGTGTGTGTGTGTG